TACATTTGAAGAATCATTTGCAAGATCAAGAAGAAGATATTTTTTCATGTTTCCAGTAATATCACTCCTATCTTATTTAAGTATTTGAAATTATTTTTTTTTTGAAGTTATGAGTGGTGATACTATGGATGATAATTTGTCTAAACCTCTTTGAAAACGTGTTACAAAACTTGATAAATATAATGAAAAAGGGTGGTAACATTCATTGACAATGCAATTTTTGTAATGCAACTTAGACAAGTTCAAGCACAAGAGTTGTAACATTCCAAATTTTATTTACCTCTTATGTAGGTCTTAAGTTTTGTTAATGCAACTTTGATCATTAGCGAATTAATTGGTCCATGCCTTCATTAATTAAAATGATAGTACAATATATATGTATTTTTTAAAATTAATTATTTCCTAATTATGCATTTTTCTTATTTTTTTTCTAAATATTATGTGGGCCCAATATTGGGCATAGTAGATATTAACAAAAATATAGGAATCCGGGTCTCATCTTGTAGATCGTGTGAAATTATGTAAAATCGAGTTTAAGAGAAATTTATTTTGAACGCATTTCATCAAGTAATTGTGGTTGAAACGAAATTTATGTAACCTCTAATATAATATTAATTATTATGTTCATTTGCATTGATTGGTTGGCATGTGTGAGATTTCACATGGTAAAGAAATAGCCAATCTTATCATTTTGTTTGCTTTGATTTCTATTAGTGGTATACGTGTGTGTAAGTTATGAAATCATGCGATGAGTTTTTTCAAATACTTGGCCATTTTCTTTTACCCACCCACCAAGCACATTTATTTGACTTACACACATAGTTATTTTATACATACAAAGTTATAAATTCCATATACTTTGACATTCTTCAAGTCAAGGGAAACAGGAGAATCCATTTTAAAGTTTTTAACAAATTCAAATTTATAATGTAAGATGTATAAGTGCAGTGGTTAAAAATTTTATTTACCATGATATCTATATTATGATTTCATTCAATGCCTTAGATTCCAAGAAATGATTTTTTTTATGTTAAATCCTTCGGTATAGATCGTTAGGCTCAATTATGTTAAATCCTACGGGATGTGGAAATTCTAAAGAAATTCCTTGAACCATATGAATGTCGGGTATGAATGTTTTTCATTTATATTTATGTTATGTTGAATAGAAATTTGCATGTATCTTACTGAGTGTTTTGTTTAAAATACTCACTCTTACAAAAATTTTAGATTAAAAGGGGTCGTGCTAGACGTGTGGAAGATTGGACGAGTGGATGCTTCTGGGTTGCCAAGTAAAAAAAAAAAAAAATCCTTTTTAGTATATTCATGTCTAGACTTTTATTTGACATGTTCATGTTTATTATCTGCACATTAATTTTGTAACTTTGACATTCATGTTGGTGTATTTCATTTAAATTGATGTTGAATGATTTTAATTAAATTTAAATGTTAGTTGGTTACTCTTTTAAATTCATAGAGTCGATTTATCAAACTTTCTTTAGATTTCCAAAAGTAGATTTTATTTCTTCAAAAATAAGAAACTTGGGAACACTCTCTTTGAAAAAAACAAAAGTTGAAAAAAAGGGTGTTACAGCTTGGTATTAGAGTTCAGATATACCTTTCTGCAGGCAGAGTAAAAAAAATTATATTCTTTCACCATTATGTGAATTTTTCGTTAGTGAAATTATATGCAAAATTTGGCAGTCCTATTCAAAAAAATAAAATAAAATAAAATAAAAAAATAAATTTACGTGAACAGTGGTAATAGTCACAGTTCACGGTGAACAGTGACTGTCACACTGTTCACCGCGAACAAATAACTACTCTTAAAAAAAAGATAATAAATAAATAGAATAAAAAAAATGTGACAGCCACGTTACTAGTTCTATAGAATTGGTGAGTTTTAGATTTTTGAATTTCCACAATCCCGTGATGTGATGGAAATTTATTTTTGTATTGTTTATTTTTTTTTATTTGTTCATTTGCTTGTTGATTGCATAGTATTTTTTTTTTAATTTTTTTTGGTGGATCCATGCAGCTTTCGTGGGTTTATTTTCCAGCCGAATCAAATCAACACTGTATAAATTCTTTTGATAAAATGTGTACATAACTTAGCTTGTTTGGCTAAGCTTAGATAACGTAAAAGCACTTTTAATCCCAAATTGCTTTATTTAATAATTTAATTTTTATTTCAAAAGTAATTAATACCTTACCAAAAAGGGGGGTAAATTAATTATTTCTAGCTTTGACGAACAGGGTAATTTATTTTATCAACTACTTTTTCGAGCATAATTTATGAATCATTTAAGCTTGAATTCCTGAAATGATTATGATGTTTAGAATGAATTATGCTATTATTTTGTTTTTAATATTTAATGAGATATGATGATTAATCATTGAAAAAAATGAGAGCATAATATATAATGTGATATCGATAACAAAAGAAACCAAACATAATTTGACAATTATGTGATAGATATGGCTAGGACTTATCGAACAGCCAAAAAAACAATAGCTTGTAAAGCAACACTGGACCAAAGGTCAATCATTCAGTCCTATGAGAATTACATCATTCAGTCCTATGAGAATTATGTAACAGACCCAACTCGTTCGCTTGTTGAACATGTTCAAGACACCCATGAGAGATGTATGGCGACGATTGATGCTTGACTAGAGATCACGTATATCAAAGCCATTCATAACCTTATAAACTTGCTTCCACCTCAATGGGGAGATATAGGAATTGTGGTTAGAGATGAGATGCTCAGAGGTAACCCTCCAGAGCACTCAGACATAGTTGAGTTTAGCACGTATTGTAAGTCCCTTTTAGATAAGTATAATGAGAGCCTACTACCACAACAAGGGCCAGAAGATGAGTTGGTAGACAAGGTAGAAGATGAGGCCGAGCCAGAGCCCGAGCTCGAGTATGAATTGGACCCTGAGGAAGAGTCTAAATCAGAGCATGAAGATCACTTTGGGATGGAGTTAGAGCATAATCTCGAGCCGCAAGCAGAGCCACAAGTCGAAATAGAGATAATGTCCGGCCCCGATGCAGAATACTCCTCAGAAGACGAGGCTCCACCAAAGAAGATTCGTAGGATCCATAGAAATTAGAAACTTAGATTCTACTTCCTTGTTCTATGATGTTTTCCTTCCCATTCAGAAAGAAAATGTTTTATGTTATTTATTTTGATCAATAATACATCCTAGTTTCAAGGATTCATATTCATGAGATTTCATTTTCCCTTTAAATACAATAAGTTGTGTTGTCCAAGGTTTCTAAAACAAAATTTTGAATTTTGTTGATTTAAAGGAAATGGCACAAAACAAGACCAAGCAACTATGTTCAGGAATCTTATGAGGGCAATGCATGACCTTGGTAGATGACATGCATAGCTAGTGCAAACAATACGGGTACAATTGTAGAGCAGTTTTGCTGCTTCAAGCCTCTTTCTTTTGATGGAAAAGCTAATCCTTTGGCAGTCAGGAGTGGCTAAGAGGACTAGAGCGGATTTTCAAACACATGGAATATACTGATACCCAATTTATGCCGAATTTATGCTGATTGATGTAGCAGCCCATTCGTAGGAGTCTGCTTCACGCACTAGAATAGAAGCAGAACAACGTGCTATGACTTGGGTATAGTTCAAAGAGGACGTAATGAAAAAGTACTTTCTCCAGTCCCTAAGGGATCAAAGAGAGGCAAAATTTCTACAACTGAATCAAGGAAAAATGTCTCTTGAAGATTATGAAAGATAGTTCAAATAACTTTCTTGGTATGCCCTACACTACGTGAACACTGAAGCAAAGAAGGCGAGGAGGTTTGAACTAGGATTACGTCTAGAGATTGGAGAAATCATGGCATCTCACCATACTACAACCTACACTGAAGTACTGCAACGAGCTTAGTCAATTTTTGATCGATTGGAAATGGATAGGATGATCGACAAAAGTGATGAATCTTTTGGAAAACAAAAGTAGAATGGGTCGAACATAAGGAAATGATTTGGATAGAACAAGAAAGCCAACTCAAGATCAGGGTCAGGATCAAGCAAACCAAATAAGGTTATTTCTCCATGTCCTAAATGCAACAAGGGCCACATGGGAGAATGTTGGTTTGGAAAAAATGTATGCTATCGATGTGGCCAAGAAGGGCATTTTGCTCCAGACTGCAAGGCATATCCACCTAAGAAGGACTACGAGCAGAATAAGAAGAGAAAAGCCACGGTCTTTGCTTTGACCCAAGAAGAGGCAACAAAGGATCCGAATGTAATGACAGGTATTCTATCAGTATCTGAACTACCTGCATACATTCTTATAGACTCAGGAGCTACTCATTCATTTGTCTCTACTGCATTTATTGCTAAATATGTATTCCTATGAAAAATTGGATAGTGTTTTAAAATTTACCATCCCATAAGGTAGAACATTGAACACCAATCGGATAGCTAGGGCGATAAAGTTAGAAATGGATGGAAGGAAATTAAAAGTTGACCTATACATCTTAGATATGAAAGACTTTGATCTTATTCTGGGAATGGATTCGTTGCAGAGCAATATGCAACCATCTGATGTTTTGAGAATGAAGTAATTTTTCAAAAGCCTAGAAAGGAAGAGTTTCGATTATTCACGATGTGAGTAAAGTTTTTACCTTACATCATGTCCGCCATGAAGGCAGAGAAGAAATCTTGCCATGGATTTTTGGTGGATATATCTAGAGCACAACGATTGGAGGTTCCTCTCACTACGGTACCAATTGTATGAGATTTTATTGATGTGTTCCTTGCTGATTTACCTAGCACTCCACTAGATAGACAAGTTGAGTTTACGATTGATCTCATGCCTGGAGCAGTGCCAATATCTAAAGCTCCATATAGAATGGCGCCAAAGGAGCTACAAGAATTGAAAATATTGCTGCAAGAATTGTTGGATAAAGGCTTCATCTGACCAAGTGTATCTACTTGGAGTGCACTGATTTTATTCGTAAATAGGAAAGGGGTTCAATGAGAATATGCATTGACTACCATGAGCTAAACCGGTTAACTATTAAAAATAAATATTCCCTGCCACGGATTGAAGACCTCTTTGATCAATTAAATGGTGCAGCAGTATTTTCCAAGATTGACTTAATGTCAAGTTATCACTAGCTGAAAGTGAAGGCAAACAATATTTCGAAGACGGCATTTAGAACTCGCTATGGTCCTTACGAGTTCATTGTAATGCTTTTTGAATTGACGAATGATCTTGAAGTGTTAATGGACTTGATGAATTAAGTATTTCGTCAATATCTAAATCAATTCATCATTGTTATCATTGATGATATTTTGGTGTATTCGAGGAACAAGAAGCAACATGAAGAACAACTTAAAATAGTACTGGAAAAACTAAGAAAGGAGAAATTGTATGCCAAATTCAAAAAGTGTGAATTTTGGTTAGACTGCATAGGTTTCTGGGTCATGTGGTTAGAGCACAAAGAATTGAAGTAGACCCTACTAAAGTTGAGGTGGTAACCAGGTGGCCTAAACCGTCGAATGTAGGTGAAGTCAGTAGCTTTTTGGGATTGGCTAGTTATTATCGAAGATTTATTGAAGGATTCTCTAAAATAGTTGGGCTGATGACCCAACTAATTAAAAAGGGTAAAATTTCAATGGACTGAGAAGTGCAAGAAGAGTTTTCAAGAACTAAAATAGAAATTGGTCATAGCTCCAATATTGGCTACACCAAAGGGCTCGGATGGATTTGTTATCGATAGTGATATATCTAAACAGGGTTTAGGGTGTGTGTTGATGCAGAATGGAAAGATGATCGCTTGTGCTTCAAGACAGTTAAAACAACATGAGCAAAACTATTCCACACATGATTTGGAATTGGCTATGGTAGTACATGCTCTAAAGATATGTCGTCACTATCTCTATGGGGGAAATGCGACATCTATACAGATCACAAAAGCCTGAAATATTTCTTTACACAGAAGGAGTTAATTATGAGGTAGAGAAGTTGGTTGGAATTGGTTATGGACTTTGACTGCATTATTCATTACCATACAGGTAAGGCAAATGTAGTCACTGATGCCCTTAGTAGAAAGACAGTGAGGGCAATTGGCAGCTCTACCCACAACTGAAGGATAGTTGTTAAAGGAATTTGAGAAATTAAGATTGGAAGTGGTTATCCCTCGACTCAGGTTACTGCAAAGATTACGACATTGAAGATCCAACCTACACTTAGAGATTGCATCAAAGATGTCCAAGACAATGACCCATTCTTAAGAAAGACTAAGGCAGAAGTTGTTACAAGTAAACGAAAGGGTTTTGCTATAGCAGATGGTAATGATTTGACATTTGAGGAAAGATTATGTACTGAAGGATGAAGGAATAAGGAAAGAGATATTAGAAGAAACTCACTCTGCCCCCATACGCTGCACATCCCGACAGTACAAAGATGTATCGAGACCTTTGCGATACATTTTGGTGGAAGGAAATTGAAAAGAGGAATTAGTTTATTTGTTGAGAAATGTATGATATGCCAACAAGTTAAGGCCGAACATCAGAGACCATCAGGGCCATTAAACCTATTAGAATTCCAGAGTGGAAATGGGAAAAGATAGCTATGGATTTTATGGTAGGTTTTCCATAGACAAATTAGGGATATGATGCTATTTGGGTAATTGTGGATAGATTGATAAAATCAGCTCACCTCCTTCCAGTACGAATGAACTATATTTTGGAATATTTTGCCCAGTTATATGTCAAGGAAATTATCAGGCTGCATGGAGTTCCAACTTCTATCGTCTCAGATCGAGATCCAAGGTTTACTTCCAAATTTTAGAAGAGCCTACAAGAAGCTATTGGGACAAAGTTAAATTTTAGTACTGCCTATTATCCCCAATCAGATGGACAATCAAAAAGGGCCATTTAGACTCTAGAAGATATGCTTTAAGCATGTGTCTTGGATTTTGAAGGTAGTTGGGAGTCATTTCTATCATTAGTAGCGTTTGGATACAATAATAACTTTCAAGCTACTATTGGCATGGCTCCTTATGAAGCTCTCTATGGTAGAAAATGTAGATCACCGGTTCACTGGGATGAAGTCGGAGAAAATAGAATTTTAGGTCCAGAAATTTTGCAAAAATAGTGCAAGCAGTCGATAAAATTAGAGACAAAATAAAGTCAGCTCAAGATAGACATGAAAGCTATTCAAACCTTAAAAGAAAGTCTGTTGAGTTTGAAGTCGGAGAGAAAGTATTTTTAAAAGTAGCGCTAATAAAAGGGTTTCTAAGATTTGGAAAGAAGGGGAAGTTGAAACCACGATTCATACGTCCTTTTGAAATTCTAGAAAGAATTAGAAATGTGGCGTACCGTTTAGCATTGCCACCTAGACTATCGGCAGTACACAACGTGTTCCACGTGTCAATGTTTAGAAAGTATGTACATGATCCTAAGCACGTGATAAGCTATGACTCATTAGAAGTGCCGAAAGACTTGACTTATGAAGAGGCCCCCATGGAAATTATTGAGAGAAAAGTGCATGCTTTGAGGAACACGGAAGAAGCTACTTGGGAGAAAGAAAAAGAGATAAGAGCCAAGTATCCACAGCTTTTCAACTAGATAACGTAATTTCGAGGACGAAATTATTTTAAGGGAAAAGGGATGTAACATTCAAAATTTTCTTTACCTCTTACATAGGTCTTAAATTTTGTTAATGCAATTTGATCATTAGCAAATTAATTGGATCATGCCTAACATTGTCATTATAATAAAGTTCATCATTTAAAATGATAATACAATTTATATGTATATATTTTTTAAAAAATTAATTATTTCTAATTATGCATTTTTCTTATTTTTTTTCTAAATATTATGTGAGCCCAATAATTGGGTATAGTATATATTAACAAAAATATATGAATATGGTTCTTATCTTGTATATCATGTTAAATTACGTAATCAGGTTTAAGAAAAATTTATTTTGAACGTATTTTATCAAGTTATTGTGGTCGAAACGAAATTTATGTAACCATCTAATATAATATTAATTATTATGTTCCTTTGCATTGATTGGTTGGCATGTGTGAGATTTCACGTGGTAAAGAAATAACAAATCTTATCATTTTTTTTTTTTTTGCTTTGATTTCTATTAGTGGTATATGTGTGTGTAAGTTATGAGATCATGTGGTGGGTTTTTTTTTATCAAATACTTGGCCGTTTTCTTTTACCCACCCACCAAGCACATTTATTTAACTTACACACACGGTTATTTCAGACATACAAAGTTATAAACTTCATATACTTTGCTATTCTTCAAGTCAAGGGAAATAGGAGAATTTATTTTTAGGTTTTTAACAAATTCAAATTTTTAAGGTAAGATACATAAATGCAGTGGTTAAAATTTTTATTTACCACGATATGTATATTATGATTTCATTCAATGCCTTAAGATTCTAGGAAATGATTTTTTTTGTTAAATCCTTCGTGATAGACCGTTAGATCCAATTATGTTAAATCCTGCGGAATGTGGGAATTCTAGAGAAATTCCTTGAACCATATGAATGTCGGGGTATAAATGTTTTTCATTTATATTTATGTCATGTTGAATATAAATTTGCATGTATCTTACTGAGTGTTTTGTTTAAAATACTCACTCTTACAAAATTTCAGATTAGAACGGGTCGTGTGGGCGTGTGGATGCATCTGGGTTGCCAAGGAAAAAAATGATTTTTAGTATATTCATGACTAGACTTTTATTTGACATGTTCATGTTTAGTATCTACACAGTTATTTTGCAGCTTTGACATTCATGTTGCTGTATTTCATTTAAATTGATGTTGAATGATTTTAATTAAATTTAAATGTTAGTTGGTTACTCTTTTAAATTCATAGAGTCGATTTATCAAACTTTCTTTAAAGTTCCAAAAGTAGAGTTTATTTCTTCAAAAATAAGAAACTTGGTAACACTCCCTTTTCTTTCTTTTTTTCATTTTTAAGTTGAGAAAAATGGGTGTTACAAGTGTGAGGGTACATTTGTTAAAATTACAAGGCTATGGAAATGGGCCTTGTGGAAAAATAACTATGAAAGATATATGTGAAATACAAAAAATGGAAGATGAAGTCAAGTTGAAAATGCAAACTAAGGTGGGGAAAAAAGTGCTTGTCGTCAGATAATATGGGTTCTACGGATTATTATGTTTTGGAGGAAAATAAAAGCAAGAATAGAGCAATAGAAAATGCTTTTAATCTGACAACATGTGACCAATTTGATTCCAAAATTGCTAGAATGTTTTATTCTAGTGGTTTGCTTTTTACTCTTACAAGATATCCTTATTACATTAGTTCTTATACTCTTGCTTCCAATAGTCGAATTTCGGGGTATTTGCCTCCCAATTATAACAAGTTGAGAACTAATCTTCTTTAAAAGGAGAGAAAAATGTGGAATGGTTATTAAATTCAATTAAGGGCACATGGGCGGAAAAGGAGTTACCATTGTAAGGATCGATGGAGTGATCCACCAAGAAGGCCACTAATTAATTTTATGGCAGTGACCGAGTGGACCAATGTTTTTAAAAGCAGTTGATTGTTCCGGCAAAACGAAAGATAAATATTTTATTGCTAACTTGATAAAGGAGGTTATAAATGAAATCGGTCGTGAAAATGTGGTTGAAGTAATAATTGATAATGCTCCAAATTGTAAAGATGCCAAGCAAATAATTGAATTAGAGTATCCTCATATTTTTTTGGACACCATACGTTGTACACACACTAAATCTTGCTTTGAAGAACATTTGTGCTGCAAATAATGTTGAAAATAATTTTACCACATATAAGGAATGCAATTGGATTACTACTTTTCATGATGATGTAATGATTATAAATTTTTTTTTATCCTGAACCATTCCACGAGACTAGCAATGTTTAATGAATTTGTGCCTTTGAAATTGCTTTCCGTAACGGAGACATGATTTACTTTTATTATTGTCATGTTGAAAAGATTTAAGCTTATCCATCGTGGTCTTCAAGATTTTGTTAATAGTGATTAATGGTCACTTTATCGAGAAGATGACATGACGAAGGCAAGTTTTGTAAAATTGATAGTGCTTGATGATCTTCGGTGGGACTTTATAAGTTATGTTCTTTCCTTCGCTTCTCTCACTTATGACATGCTTAGACTTTGTGATACGGATAAACCTTGCTTCACTTGGTTTCCGACTTGTGGAATACAATGATTGAGAAAGTGAGAGGAATAATTTATATACATGAGAAAAAAGTTCAAGAAGAGGAATCATCATTCTATAATGTTGTTCATTAGATACTTGTAGATCGTTGGAACAAAAATAACATTCCACTTCATTTCTTGTCTCATTCTCTAAATCCAAGGTAATTTTTAAATCTAATCCATACATTTATTGTTTATTTACATTTTCATAATTTTTAATATTTTTAGTTAGTTATTGAATTAATTGTCATTTCTTAAATTTTTTTTTTTTTTTTATCTTGTTTAGGTACTATAACGAGGAATGGCTTAATGAGGTTCCTCTCAACTTGCTCCACATGGAGATCCAGATATTTCAAGAGAAAGAATAAAATGCTAATGAGGTACTTGTCAAATGAAGAGCGTAATATGGTATGACTTTGGTGATTTTGAATCCATCCGTGATCGTTACTGCTTGGACCTGAAGACTTGGTGGGTTATTTATGGTGCTTGCGCACCTATGCTTCAAAGCTTTGCCTTGAAATTATTGGGACACCCATCTTCTTTATCGTGTTGTGAGAGAAATTGGAGTGCTTATTCCTTTTTACACTCTTTTAAAAGAAATAAGCTAACTCCAAAACATGCGGAATATTTGATTTTAGTCCATAGCAATCTTCGTCTCTTGTCAAGGAGGAGTGCGCAATACTCATAAGGAGAGACTAAAATGTGGGTTATCGGTGGTGATGCATTTGAAGATATCGGTGTGCTTGAAGTTGCCAACTTATCTCTAGACGAACCGAAATAGGAGGCGATAGTATTTGCAGATGGAGATGAAGATGTTGAAAAAATTCAAGATGAATGATGTAATTAATTTGGTAGTTGCCTATATATATGATTCAATAAGTATAAAAAATTATTACTTTAGACTGTAAAAATTAAAATAAACTAAAAAATAATTTTGTAATCAACATGTCAGTGACGTATCATGTCGGAACTTCTCTAAAAAATTACATGTCGGAGTGTCCGACACGTATCGTATCAGACACTCGTCTTCATGTTGGTGCTTTTTAAATAGTATCCACGATAATGAATTGTAAAAGTATCTACGGTAATTCTTGATGATGTCATGGATGATGTCATGGATGGACTACAATTGTATTCACAAGGGCACGCAAAGTATTTGACAAATTGCCTAGTTTGGAATTGTCCAATAAGAGATTTCAGTAAACTGGCTTGAAAGCTTGTTGTAACGAAGCTATGCATGGATTCATTATCAAGCATCCGACCAATATTTCTTTCTTCGAGGCAAGCTCTAAGACCTCGCATGCTTGGGGCTAACTCGTAAGATCTAGCACTTTTGAAGGTGAATCCTAGACCATGAATTTCTTATTATTAGATGCAGAATTTTGTAAGTTCTCATTCCTTAAATAAAGTTATTTTACATCTCTCTTATTGATAAATAATAATAATAATAATAATAATAATAAGGATGTAAAAGAGTACGACCGGGTATACCAAGTGGCGATGCTAAAACAATAGTCAAATATATTTTGTTTCTCTCAAAATAAGTCTTGTGAATTAAGTTTTGATTTTTTTGTTTGAGAACTGATAGTTGGCTATTAATTAAAAACGGTCAAGTTAGAATGTAAACAAGAATAATTATGATAAAGTTTCAAGATTAATTATACTACTATATGTTCACTTCAATTAACTACTCATAGAATAAATAAGTAATATCAGTATTGAATTACTTGAAAAGGTTCAACGATACGTATTTCAACAAATATAAGAAGGGAATAATTGCTGATTGTATTGTATAAATACTCAAGCTAAATGAATAATTTTTCTTCGAATGCCATGAAACAAGACGACTAAACTCTAAACATATATATAATTATTAGTTTGATGCCCATTCTTCGAGTAATGTTCTGTAAAATCACATTATGAATTTACGTTCGTTTAATTGCGTGTTATAATTTGAAGTGATTGTTTAAGGTTCCATGATCATATAGGATGTCACAAATTGTATACTCGATGGATCGGGTATAGTAAGACACAATTTGTGATGTGATCAAAATTATGTCGTTCACAAGCGATTCATAAAGTTGGACATTTTATGTTGATAAGATTGTATTCTTCTTATTAAGATTTGTCTAGATGTTGAAATATGAACAATAATGTGTTTTGATGCACATTGAACGGGACTGCGTAGATAACTCATTTGTGACCGTTTGAAATGAGACTCTAGTTGATTATCAAACAGGCCACCTAAATCCTGAGTGAGTAATGTACCTTTGAATGTTAGTTCAAGCTCTTTGAGGTACCAATAAGTGAAATCTTAAATAGAAGATTGATCTCAATGCTTTGGGAATCGGGTCGAAACAATTAGAGATCATATACTTACAATATTGAAATCCATTAA